TCAGCTCTTCAGCTCAAGGCGAGCGCTCTACCACTTGAGCTACAGTGCCACTTCCGGTTTCCTGGTGGTTTATTGGAGATAGGAGTCTCACTGTCTCTCCTGCCCGGGCTGGCTTTGAACTGAGATCCTCAGATCTCAGCCTCCTGAGTAGCTAGGATTACAGGCGTGAGCCACCAGCACCTGGCTAGGATTTTATTTTTGATAAGAGCAAAAACTAGGAGAGGGACATGGGGAATTTTATTGGATATCCTTATATCTCTCTTAAGTTTTACTGTTATATGTGAACTGATATTGTTTTGCATAGATGATGTCCCGGATTACTGTTTCTTGTCCCCTAGAATATTCTGGAGCTGAACGTCTATGATGAAAACTCAATCACAAAGGATGGCATCTGCTTCAAGGTGTTCTACGACATCTCAGAGGTCCATCCTGGCAAGCTGTTCCAGAAAACCTTCTCCCCAGGTCCCCAGGTGGGTGGAGAAGCCCCGCCCCCTCCAGCTCCAGGCGGAGGAAGTTCCTCCCTGTCTTCCTCCTTTTCCCTTGAGCTCATCCACAGGGCCGTGAGTAAGCTCTCCCAGAGAGATTTGCATGTTCACTGGAAGGAACCCCGGGTGTCGTGAGGAGGAAGGTGTGAATTTCCTAACAGCCACCTGAGGGCAGTGTGGGATCGTCTTTCCTGCTTGCTGAGCCCAAGGCCAGCTTGGCATCTTGGCATTCTTCTTGCCAAGAGAAAGAAAGGAGGTGGAGAGCTGCCTCGGGAGGGGGCTTGGGCATCCTGAAGCCCCCCCCCCTTTAACTGAGTTTGTCTTTCCCTTCCACCTGGCCCAGAATCTGGGATCCCAGGAGGGAGGAAGACCTGTTCGTCTGCAGACTTACCCAGCTGCAGCCAACTAGGGCAGGTAGTCCTCCTTGCCCCACACCTCCATTTCCTCATCTGTGAACTGGCCACAGTCACAATAGCATGCTTCCCCAGAGGCTGCTTGAGACGGTGTGATGACTTCACACATTGCAAAGCATCTTTGTCGACTGTATGTGTTGACTTGCTCACCCTCTTTGCTTTCAGGGACAGGAAGAGCTAGATGTGGAGTTTCTGCTGGAGAAAACGTGAGTAATATTCCACAGCCCAGGGAGTGTCTGGGGACCTGGGTTGTGTGCAAGGAAGTGGCTCTGACCTAGATCTGGTGTTACAATGTCCAGCTGTGAGTTGCTGGCACGGCTGCTCTTATCTCCTCTCTTCCCCCCTCCCCACCTGCCAGAGAACTGAAGAGAGGAAAGCCAGTATTTCCCCTGCCCCGCTTTCTCCTCTCACCTTTTGAACTGCACTTCAGGCATTTCCCCAACCCTGGATCTTAGCCAGGATGTTCCACAGCATCACTCAGTGAGACCCTCTGATGTCCAGACAGCACAGAATGTCTTTGCCTCTGCAAGTCCAGACTGGGTGCTTTGATTTTTATTTTCCAGGTCAGACCCTCCAGAAAGTCTCATCACCAATCATGTCCTTGTGGTAACGACCTTCCCCAGGCCTAGAGGAGGGGGGCTGGGGTGTGGTTGAGGAGGGACGAGGCTTTGTGGTAAGACACCCCTTCTCCAGAGCCTCCCAGCTAGGTGGTCATCTGGGGCGGTGGGGCCTGTAGGAGTCTGGAGATAAGGGGTGCATGGGGAAGGGGGAGGTGGGTCTGCAGGGAGGAGGTTCTGGCCCTGAGCTGGATGACTGAGGGAACTGAAGGAAATGTTAATGCTTAGTGAGGTGTGATGAGTTCTTAGAGTTTAGCTCAGAGATCTGGCCCCCCCAAGGAGTGCTAGAGCCAAGCCCCCCTTCAGGTTGCAAATACTGAGAATGGTGAGGGTCAGAGGGAGTTTGCAGGGTGCTGTGCTTCCTATCTGGAGAGACAGGAATCAAATCAGCAGGTGTCTCTGCCTCTTGGCTCTCCTCCATCAGCGGCAATTTCCCAAAGCTGCAATGGACAGGAATGGCCACAAGGTGGTGAGCGCTGCATGAGGTGCGTGGACCAGGCACCGTTTGCAGGTCTGCCGCAGGGGTTGAACTGAAAGCCCAGAATCTGCACCTAGAGCACAAACCTTAGAAGTGTGCCCTCCAGGGCTGTGCAAGCGCTTGTGTGATGGGCTAGCTCATGTTTTTTTTTTTTTTCTTTTTGCTGGTCCTTGGGTTCAAACTGTGGGCTTGGGTACCTGTCCCTGAGCTCTTGTTGCTCAAGCTCTCTACCACTTGAACCACAGTATCATTTCTGTGGCTTTTTTTTCTGTGGTTCATGGGAGATAGGAGCCTCACAGACTTTCCCACCCAGCTGGCTTTGAACCATGATCCTCAGATCTCATCCTCCTGAGTAGCTAGAGTGACAGGGTGAGCCCCCTGTGCCTGGTGGCTAGTTTACTTTTTAGAAGAATGCACATTAAAATGCCCATGGCAACCACCCCTTCTCTGAGAAGGAGCCTGTAGTAAGAAGGTTGATGGAAGCAGCAGTTCCAAGGAGGATGCCAGGGAAAATGGCAGGTGGTGACATCAGCCAGCCAGCGAGCTTTGCAGGGAGAAGCTGGGGGGGGGGTAGAGGAGGAGGGGAGTAAGCCAGCTTGGGAGAGCAGAATCACGAGGTGTGCTAGGCTACCATTCATTCCTGTGCCCTTCTGCCACCCCAGCTTCAATCTGTGGTGTATATACTCTACTCAGAAGGGCCTGTAGTCAGCTCTTCCAGATATCAGGGTCTGAAGATAGAGAAGGAACCATGTTCTCACGACTTCCAGAAATTGAGTAAAGCTAGGAGCGAGCTGGGACGGGGTGGAGAGGGGCTCTCCCAGCTGCTCAGGCTGCACCATGGCCGTAGGATCCTAGATGGGAATTCAGTGTGTCGGACCCACTTGCATTCAGAATCCTCTTGTTGTGCTGTGTGTAGTAGTGGATTTGGGACGGTTGAGGAGCTCAGGCTGGAGGGTGAGGGGACCTCAGCTTGACCCCACAGATGTGGGAGCCTTACGCCCACAATGTGATCTGGCCCAGGCCCGAGAACTGTCACAGCTGGATGTCTGCGTGGACACAGCAGAGAGCACCATGGTGGCCGCAGGTGAGAATCTGCTCACAACCAGGTCTGGACTCTGCCTGGATGTTGGGGGGAGGGAGGCAGCCACAAGCTGTCCCAGAGAAGAAGGTACACCCCTCCTACAAAGTCACGCCCTGACCTGGAGAAACATTGTCACAGGAGATGGGAGTCCCTTGGGGGGTCGTGAAAGAACCTTTTGCAGATGCCTCCTTACCTTTCTGGGCCGCTCCTCATCCAGGCAGCTTGGCTGGTACCTTGGGTCTCAGCTGGGGCTCTTGTGTCTCTCATGCTAACCTGCTCCCTAGGTCAGGATGAGCTGGAGCTGGTATTGAAGGGATCCTATGAGGACACACAGACGTCTGCCCTGGGCACAGCCTCGGCCCTCAGCTTCCACTACCTGGCAGCCCAATGCACAGAGCTGAGCGGGCATCTGAAGGTGGGTGCACCCATGCTCCCCCAGCCTTTAGACAGCTCCAGCTGCTGCAGGCCCTCCTTGATTTCCCCACGGGCCAAAGCCAGGCCCCTGTGGCCTTGTCAGCCTCCCCAAACCTCCTCTCTCTACACTGTTGGAAGAGAGAGAAGATGAGCAGGGGCTCAAAGCCAGGTCAGCCTTTGAACTCCCTGTGGCTCTTCCCCAAGGCCTCATCTATCTGGACCCACAGGCTGACCAGCCTGGCCTTACTAACCTCTGCTGGTCACCTTGTTCATGATGCTGCAGCCATATTTCTCCTGCTTCTCCACCATGCCAAGTATCTTCCTTGTATTCCTCTGCCTCCTCCTGTACCTGCCCTCTTCCTCATGTATCAGATCAGATGGTGTCTTGTCAGAGAAGCCCCTTGGGTCCCCGAACCTTTGTTACTCTATGATATCACCCTCCATATGTCCTTCATAGTACATTCCTAACATCACTCTTGAACTTTTAATTTTGGGTGGTAGTGGTGGTACTGGGGTTTGAACTCAGTGTCTTGCACTTTCCAGGAAGTTACCCTTCTGCTTGAACCATGCTTCCAGCCCCCGCTCCCACTTTTTCTTGTTGGTCGTGGGGCTGGAACTCTCGGCCTTGGCACTGTCCCTCAGTTCTTCAGCTCAAGGCAAGTGCTCTACCACTTGGGCCACAGCACCACTTCCGGTTTTCTGGTGATTAATTGGAGATCAGAGTTTCACAGGCTTTCCTGCCTGGGCTAGCTTTGAACCGCAATCCTCAGATCTCAGCCTCCTGAGTAGCTAGGATTATTACAGGCATGAGCCACCTTTGCCCAGCTCCCCATTCCCATTTTTTTTTTTGCTTCAGTTATTTTTTCAGATAGGATCTTATATTTTCTGCCTGGAATTTTCTAGAATTTCTGCTTCGAATTTTCAGACCACCTATCTATGGTCTCCCATGTAGCTAGGATTACAATTACTTGTTTCTTGAGATGGGGGTTTTTGCCCAGCTGGCCTTGAACCATTATTCTCCTGATCTCTGCCTTTCAAGCAGCTAGGGCTATAGGTGTGTGCCACCACCATACTTGGCTTTATTGCCTGTTTATAAATGTGTGTGTGTGTGTGTGTGTGTGTGTGTGTGTGTGTGTATGACTCATTGAGAACAATGCCTTCACTCTAAAATAAGTGCTAACCATTATTATTTTGTAATTATTCTTAACCACAGTTGTTGCAATCAGTTTATATCATCAGGGAGAGATTGTGGCTGTCTTGTTTGCCGTCTAGATACTCAGCAAGGGTTTGTCCAATGAATGAATGAATGATTTCCCTCCAGAGCTCCAGAGGCAACAGCTGTAATTCCAACATGTTGGCTGGACACCTCTCAGTGCCCCTGAGGTCCCTGGCCAGGGGGACCAAGGTGACGGTGGACATTCCTGGTACAAATGTAAGTAGGTTCAACTGGTGGGCGAGGGTGAATGGGGAAGAGGAGGAGGAGGAGGAGTCCAAGGGCCCAGGGGATCCTCAGGGTCTCTCAGGGTCCAGAGCATTCTGAGCGAGCTCTCTTGCTTTGATTTCAGGCCCCAGGAGTGAGGCTGCAGCTCAATTCAGACAGCTGGTAAGAGTTCACGTCCACGGGGAGTCCATGTCCATGGGACAGCGGTCGCACGGGTGGTAGGCGGTGGAGTTACTGGTTCTTGCAGGTCACCTGGCAGCTCACTGTGGGCTGTAGAGACTCTCTGCCTCCCCCCCACCCCCGCTCCAGACCTGTGACCTGTAACCCCTGACCCCTGGTTCTTCCTTGTCCTAGCCCTAAGGAGCTGGCTGTGCACCTGGGCTTCGACCTGTGTGCGCAGGAGCGGGCCTTCCTGCGCAGGAGGAAGCAGGTGGCGGCCAAGGCCCTGAAGCAAGTCCTCCAGCTGGACAGAGACCTACAGGAGGACGAGGTCTGGGGGTGGGGAAGGGATGTGGGTATAGAACTGACTTCGATGCCCTCTCGACATTCCAGTCCCCTGAGAATGGGGAGTAAAGGTGTGGGAGGATATGGGCCATGGGAAGCTTTGGGGTGCTCATTCCCCTGGGGGGCTCTGGCTTGGCCCGAGAGCTGCCCCTTGTTGGGTAAGGGCTGGCCCTAGCTCTAAAGTGACTCTGTCAGACCCTGACCATATGCCTCTTGCCTGGAAACGGGATGCACCCAGGGTAAGGGGTCCCTGTCCTTGTTAAGGTGGTCTACCTCTGTGTGTGGGCCAGGTCCCAGTGGTGGGTATTGTGGCTGAAGGAGGAGGTGCCCGGGCCATGACCGCATTCTACGGCCATCTACTGGCCCTGCAGAAGTTGGGCCTCCTAGACTGTGTGACCTACCTGAGTGGCATCTCTGGCTCTACATGGTAAGGGTCATAGGTACATTTGTGTGTGTGTGTGTGCGTGTGTGTGTGTCTGACCTGGGATTGAACTTGAAACCTAGGTGCTGTCCCTGATCATCTTTTGTTCACTCTACCACTTGAGCCACAGCTCCACTTCTGCCTTATTGGAAGTTTATTAGAGATAGGAGTCTCGTAGACTTTCCAGGCTGGCTTTGAATGGTGATCCTCAGATCTCCACCTCCTGAGTAGCTAGGATTATAGGTATGAGCCACAGGTGCCCAGCTATAGATAGATTTTCTAACTAAGCAAGGGCTGGAAGAAGACTGAGGCTGGGCGGAGTGGCAGGCTGTGTGCTGGGCCTTAGCCTCCTCCTATCCTGTCCCCTTCTGTTCCCAGGACAATGGCGCACCTGTACTGGGACCCAGAGTGGTCACAGAAGGACCTTGAGGGGCCCATCAGCCATGCTCGAGAGCATCTGGCCAAGAGTCAGTTAACAGCCTTCTCCCCAGAGCGCCTGGCGAGCTACCACCGGGAGCTGGAGCTGCGAGCTAAGCAGGGACACTGCACGACCATTGTGGACCTGTGGGCTCTGGTGCTCGAGTCCAAGCTCCATGGCCAGGTAGGACCCTGCACAGTTGGGGTGAAGGAGGTGTACATCTGCATGTGTGTGTCCTACAGAGAGGTCAGGGTCCACCCTTCAAGAATGTGATGATTGCCATCTCTTTCTGTCTGCCTTGTTGAGTTAGGATCTTCTTCAGTGAATAGTCAGGTAACAGAAGTGGCTCTAAGAACTGGGAAGCAGTCAGTTACATAAACAAAGCTTTGTCAGTGTTTGAGTCTGTTAGGATTTCGAATCCACTTTTATTCATACTTCAATAGAAAATGTTACTGGTGTTAAAAGCACAGGTTTTGGAGCCAGAGTCCCTGGGTCCTAATCACAGTGCATTTTGCTCTGTGTCCTTCATCAACGATTTAATCTCTGTGTGCCTCTGTTTTCTCATCTAGATGATAGAGCTGAAAATGGTGCCTTGGTCTTAAAAAAAGCAAACAAACAAAAAAACCCAAACGGAAGCTGGGCGCTGGTGGCTCATGACTGTAACCCTAGCTACTCAGGAGGCTGAGATCTGAGAATCGTGGTTCAAAGCCAGCCCGGGGAAGGAAAGTCCATGAGACTCTTATCTCCAGTTAACCATCAGAAAGCCAGAAGTGGCACTTGTGGCTCAAGTGCTAGAGCACTTGCCTTGAGCTGAAGAGCTGAGGGACAGTGCCCAGGCCCAGAGTTCAAGCCCCACAACCAACAACAAAAAGAAAGAAAGGAGAAAAAACTGAGATCCTCTTTTCCATGCCCTACCACATAGCTGAGAGCACACATTTAAAGTGCTTATTACAAGCTTATTTGTCAAGATGGAGGTCTCACTAACTGTTTGCCAAGGCCTCCGTCTGTGATACTCTGGATCTCCACCCTTCTGATGAGCTGTGATTATGGGTTTATTATAAGCTCTCCACGGCCTTTTCTGTTCATGGCTGGCATTCTACTGTTTGAGCTACACCTCTACTTCCAGCTTTGTGCTGGTTCATTGAAGGTAAAACTTTCTTGGTATGTCCTGGGCTGACTTCAAGCCTTGATTCACAGATCTCAGTCTCCTGGTGTAGCCAGGGCTACAGGTAGGAGCCTCAAGCACTGACAAACACTGAACCACTTAGGTACTTCTTCCCACTTCTCTGGGGGAAGTCCCTAGTTTTTCATTCTTCCTTTCCTGAGTAGAAGGTCTGTGTGTTGGGGATACTTCAGCAACGAGGGGACTAGAGTCCCAGGGTCCTCTTCAGCTTGCTTTGAAGGCATCGAGGAGGGTGGTGGGTGCTGTCTGACTAGGTAGAAGGGTATACTGATCCTTCTTCAAACCTTACCTCAGGGAAGAATCATGAAATATAGCAGAAGGGCAAAGTTTCCCTCATTCTACTCAATAGCGAGGATTGTTAAGCAATGACTAAACACAAATCAAGTGCTAGGCTGATTCTCAGTGGAGACCCAGAAATCACCCGTTCAACCTGCTCTCTAAGGAAATCTGATAAGGACCGACATGGCCTGGGCACCTAGAAACAGGGATGCAGTCTCCATGCCTGGTATGTGCCCTGCCATCCGGTGTGGCCAATGCTGCCGGCCCAGCCTGGCCCGGCCCCGCCCACCCAGCGCAGTCCTTGCAGATGCTCTAGGCAGCCAGCACCACTCATGTTGCAGGAGCATCTCAGACCTTGGCTGGAATGAGGTCTCCTGGAGCCCCTGACACTCAGGAGGCTCTGTGCCATATGTCCCAGATAGAGACGTATGTCCCATAGTCCTTACTGCAAAAGACAGAGCTTGGAGTTGTATGGAAGAGAAAATTAGGAGCAAGGGCAGGAAGAAGCCACAGGTACAACCTGGCCCTGAGCAAAGCAGAGAAGAAGGGGAGGGGGGAGATGAATGTGAAAGGGGCAGGCATCGCTCGGCGTGCCGTACAGCATCCACTGTCCGCGTCCATCCACTGAGCACGCAGGCCACGGGAAAGCGGGGGCGGGGGTGGGGCTGCAGGTGCCGCTGTCTCCATGACTGGCCCTCCCTGGAGATACGCAACGCATAACATATATAGCCAGGAATGATGTGGGTGTATTTGGGGCCAATCAGAGCCATACCCATACCCATCCTCCCCACCTGATTCCAAAGGTGCAGCTACCCCCTCACCTCTAGCCTGTACCCCGGCCCCTGTCCTGGTAGACTTTCTGCCATCACGATAGAAACTCAGGCCCTCAGCCCCCCCCCCTCCCCAGGTGACAGATCACAAGCTATCAGGCCAGCGAGCAGCCCTGGAGCGGGGACAGAACCCTCTGCCTCTCTACTTGAGCCTCAATGTCAAAGAGAACCGTCTAGACACCCTCGACTTCAAGGGTACAGACCTATCCACTCCATCCTTCTCCCCAATTCCTCTCCACCCCAAGAATGCCTGGCGAATTCAATCTGGCAACTCCTGGTCAGACTGCCCAGCCTTCTGGAAGGGGTGGCGGCACGGGCAGGGGTGGGGCGGGGGTGGGGTAGGGGAGTATATGAACAGGTGGATGGTGAAGGTGAGGAGTTGGTTCTGGGGTTCCCCAGGCCCGCTCCCCTGCCCCTGCCTACCTCTCCCTCCCACCCCGTAGAGTGGGTGGAGTTCTCCCCCTACGAGGTCGGGTTCCTGAAGTACGGGGCCTTCATTCCACCCGAGCTCTTCGGTTCTGAGTTCTTCATGGGGCGACTGATGAAGAGGCTCCCTGAGCCCCAGATCTGCTTTCTGGAAGGTGAGTGGTGGTCTCTTCCTGGACATCACTCCAGGGGCTCCGGCCTGGCAGAGCCAGGAAGAGGGACTGCAAGGAGAGTCTTCACCCTGCTTTCCTTTCCCATCAGCACCCAAAGGTGGCTGACTTCTCTTGGGGGGGTGGGGCGGGGGTGACCCTCAGCTATCTGGAGCAACATTTTCTCCTTGAACCTGCTGGACACCTGGTATGATCTCACCTGTTCTGGAGAGGACTGGAGACAGCACATCAAGGACAAGATCCAGAACACAGGTAGGAGAGGGGAAACTGAGGAAGGCCTGGGATAAGCCCGGGGTGGGGAAGGAGGAGTGGTGGTGGAAATTGCCCGGCCTCTCACTGGAGCCATGTCTGTTTCTCTGGCCGCAGGGAAGCAGCCCCCGGCCTCCTCCGAGAGCGTCTCTTGGGCGGAGGGCTCGTGGCTGCAGCCCGGCACAGCCCTGGCGCAGGCGTTCAAGGGCTTCCTGACCAACAGGCCGCTGCACCAGCGCAGTGCCAACTTCCTCCACGGCCTCCAGATGCACCGGAACTACTGTGAAGAGAAAGCCTTCTCCACCTGGGCAGGTAGGGCCAGGCATGTGCATGTGGCTGGATGCCTGGTGGGGTCTCGGGAAGTCACAGCATCCATTTCCGGTGTGGAGAAGATCCCATCGGGAGATGTGGGGGATGGCTGGGGGTGAGGCCTGCATTCAGGAAGTGACATCAGAGGTTAACCGACAAGGAAACAAACATGATGGTGGTCCAAAAGGGGTGGGCGCCTCTCACTCACTGCCTCCTCGTGCCAGACTGCCAGCTCGATGCCACGCCCAGCCAGCTGACCCCCCAGGAGCCCCAGCTCTGTCTAGTGGACTCTGGCTACTTCATCAACAACAGCTACCCTTCCATGTTCCGGCCAGGCCGCCAGCCGGACCTCATTCTGTCTTTCAACTACTCACTCGACTCGCCCTTTCAGGTGCCTCTGGTCACCCGCCCTGGGGACCCCAGGAGCAGATCAAGCTCCAGGGCAAGCAGCAAGGCCACTGAGGCACAGTCCCACACCTCCCCATCCCCCAGGGAGGGAGACAGGACAGGCTTCAGCCGCACAGGCTTGCCAGGCGCTGTTAGGTTAAGGCAGGACTCACCACTGCTTGGGGCTGGGTTCGCAGGACGGATGAAGGGGAGCCTCTTTGGGGGCAGAACAGCTGGACAGAGCAGGAAGGAGGCTCTGAGCATTTTCACGGGCAATCCGCCACACCCCATGGGGACTGTGGAATAGCAACAGTATTGGAGTGAACCTGTGTGTCCTTTACGGAGACGCTCCAGGCTCCGAGACTTATTAATCCAGCCGTAGCAGAGCAGGTGGAGGGAGGGGGCGTACTGGGGTCTGCAGCCCACACCAAGCTTTTAGCCAGTGGGGTTGTAGGGTTCCCGCACAGAACCAGCTGTGGTCTCCATGCTAAGGGAGCTGGCTGGGGCTGGAACTGACGTAGCATTTTCCAGAGCTCTGATCTGGGCTCCCTTCTTCCCCGTTCCCCCTGCCAGGCCCTGCAGCAGACGGAGCTGTACTGCAGGGCCCAGGGGCTGCCCTTCCCCCGGGTGGAGCTCAGTCCTGAGGACCAGCGCCAGCCCAGGGAGTGCCACCTCTTCTCCGACCCCGCCTGTCCCGAGGCCCCCATCCTGCTGCACTTCCCGCTGGTCAACGCTTCCTTCAAGGACTTCTCTGCCCCAGGTGAGGCAGCCCTGGTCCCTCAGAGCTCTTCCCGGGAAAGGCCAGCCGCACCCAGGCTTTGCACACGACACTGCCCCCACCCCCGCCCGCCAGCCTTGATAGCTATTACCCACGAACTTGCGTGCAGGTCACTGTCATAACCCCTGGCTCCTTTGTTTTCCACCTTTCCCTAGAAACCTAGAGGCCTGCACACCTGTGCCCCTGCTTTGTATTGGGGGGCTCTCTATCATCCTATCCAGCCTCTCCTCAGGGCCCCCCAAATCTAATCCCTCATCACACTACTTTCTATCGTCTCCTTCCAGCCACTGTAGAATCTTATCTCCTTTGGGTGAGAAAGACTCTGTCCTCCTGCGTTATCTCTGCTTTCTAGTTCTTGCTGCATTATTCCAAATCTTCTAACTTTACTTTTGTTTTTTTTTGTAATTACTGAGGACTGTGCTTACGAGGCAAATGCTCTACCACACAAGTGAGCCACACTCCAGTCCTTTTCACTTACAATCTCAAGCTGGCCTTGGACCTTGATTTTCCTACTTCCGTTTCTCTCCAGTAGCTGAGATTACAGCTGTGCATCACCATACCCTGTTTTTTTTTTTTTTTTTTTTGTCGGTCGTGGGGCCTGAACTCTGGGCCTGGGCGCTGCCCCTCAGCTCTTCACCTCAAGGCTAGCGCTCTACCACTTGAGCCACAGCACCACTTCCAGCTTTTTTCTGCTTATGTGGTGCTGAGGAATCGAACGCAGGGCCTCAGGCATGCAAGGCAAGCACTCTACCACTGAGCCACCTTCCCAGCCTCCTGCTTATTTTTTGAGATATGTTATGTGTGCCTCCTCAGTCACTTGAGCCACCATGCCACATTTGTTTCTTCACAAAGATGTGAGCTTAAAGAATCTGTTCCTAATTCATTGGGCTTCCTTGTTCTGACTGTTTCACCTTACCCACAGAGTAGGGTAGAGCGGTATTAGGCAGCTGCTTGAGAAGTCAAAACAACAGAGTGGCGTCCTGCCACCCACTCTTACATTTCTGGGTGCGGGGCCTAGAGGTCTGGGAGAAAGGAACAGGTCGCTTGTGTGGAAGCAGGTGCTCCCCTGTGTGGGCCTCTCCCCCCTCACCCTGCCCCTCCACCCTGCCTCTCAGGTGTCCGGCGCAGTCCTGCAGAGCTCGGGGCTGGCCAAGTGGATCTCAGCCGAGCCACCTCCCCCTACGCCCTGTTCAACATGACCTACAAGGAGGCCGACTTCGACCGTCTGCTGAGGCTCACTGACTACAATGTGCAGAACAGCCAGACCGCCATCCTGCAGGCCCTAGGGACCGTGCTGAAGCGCAGGGCCCCAGACGCCAGGCCATCGGGGGTGCAGACATGAGGCTGCTTAGGAGCCCAAGACCCCCAGGGCTGCATTCTGACCCTCCAGGAGCAGGGGACACCTGCAGCTGGGCACAGCCATAGCTCTCCCAAGGCCTGGGGCACCTCAGAGCTGCTTGCACCACTCAGAGCGGGCTGCGTCTACCCAAATTCTCCAGCATGTCCACACCTGGTTTGAGAGGAGCTGAGAAGACTTCTACCCCAGGCCAGTGCACAGAACAGCTGTTGACATAGGGATTACTTTCACCTCTACGGAATAGATTTGGGGTGCCTTTAGGCCCCTACTCTCACACTGAACTCTCCTTCTTTTTCTCTTCACAAATCTCACCCTTCTTTAGTTAGATTTATCTCTCAGAATTGTATTCTTTTAGATGCTGTTGCAAATGCAATTATTTTTCTTAATTTCATTCCCAGATTGTTCATGGCTATTTTGTAGGAATGTGATTTATTTTTGTATTTGATCTTAATATTCTACACTCTTGATGAACCTATCAGCACTAATATGGTTTTGTGATTTTTTTTTTGGTCGGTTGTGGGGCTTGAACTCTGGGCCTGGGCACTGTCCCTCAGCTCTTCAGCTCAATGCTAGCACTCTACCACTTGAGCCACAGCACCACTTCTGGTTTTCTGAGTGGTTTATTGGAGATAAGAGTCTCATGGACTTTCCTGTCCAGACTGGCTTTGAACCGTGATCCTCAGATCTCAGCCTTCTGAGTAGCTAGGATTACAGGCATGAGCCACCGATGCCCAGGCTTGTGAATTCTTTAGAACATTTGATATACAGATCCTGTCATCTACAAAGGGAGATGATTTTATTTTGTGTGTATGTGTCCATCCTGGTACTAGAGCTTGAACTCAGTGCCTGGGTGCTGATCCTTAGCTTTTATTTTGCTCAAGGCTAGCACTCTACCACTTGAGCCACAGCTCCACTTCCAGCTTTTTGGTGGTTAATTCGAGATAAGAGTCTTATGGACTTTCCTGCCTGGGCTGCTTTGAACCACAACCCTTAGATCTCAGCCTCCTGAGTAGCTAGGATTACAGGTGTGAGCCAACTGTGCCTGGCTGGATCTCATGTTTTTGCCTGGGCTGTCATATAAGAGAGCTGGAGACATGGCTTGAAGGTGTTGTGATGGCTTAAAAATCACAAGGCTGAAGCCCTGGGCGCTGGTGGCTCATGCCTGTAATCCTAGCTACTCAGGAGGCTGAGATCTGAGGATCACGGTTCAGAGCCAGTCCAAAGCCAGTCTGGGCCTTAGTCTGGGCAGGAAAGGCCGTGAGACTCTTATCTCCAATAAACCACTAGAAAACCGGAAGTGGCTCTGTGGCTCAAGCAGTAGAGTGCTTGCCTTGAGCTGAAGAGCGCAGGGATAGCGCCCAAGCCCAGAGTTCAGGCCCCACGACCGACCAAAAAAAAAAAGTAAGAAATTACAATGCTGGGCTGGGAAGGTGGCTGAGTGGTAGAGTGCTTGCCTTGCATGCATGAGGCCCTGGGTTCAATTCCTCAGCATCACATAAGCAGAAAAAGCCGCAAATGGTGCTGCGGCTCAAATGGTAGAGTGCTAGCCTTGAGCTGAAGAGCTGAGGGACAGTGTTCAGGCCCAGAGTTTGGCCCCCATGACCGACCAAAAAAAAAAAAAATCACAAGGCTTTGAATTCAAACCCCAGTGCCACCAAAAAAAAAGGAAGAAAGGAATAGAAGAGCACCACCATTAAGTACAGTGCTTTTCTGGCGCTCACAGAGTTTTAGAGTCAGCAGGTGGTTCTGGGGACCTGTGTACCACTCAGCTGGTGACTGGGGTGGAGACTGTGTTGTGGAACTGTCCCCCTCACACTGTTCAGCTTGGTATCCTCTGTTTGCAGGGCCCCAGAGTCCTGGAGGACTATGTCCTCAGCCTCAGGCACCTGTGCTCTGGAGAATGAGAGGCACACTTGCAGCCAACGGTCTCATTCAGAGACCTTAACAATGCACAGTGGGCCCAGGCGAGCTCCACACAACCCTTGGTATGGTCTAGGCAGAAGCTAGTATGAACTAGCCTAGTATGAACTAGGCACATGAGTGTTGTCACTCCAGAGCCCCCAGCAAGTGCTGTCAGCCCCACCCTGAAGAAGGCTGTGACACCAGCAGGTGTCAAGCCCCACCTACAGGCTCCCTAAGAGGTTACACAAGGCTCTTCTTACAGCCAGTGGGCCCCTCCCAGCTGGGCCCAGAGACAACAAGCAGAGACAAGAAGCCCAGTGGCTTGTCTCAGCACCAGGGCCAGGACAGGCTGAGTCTCTGCCCTCTATTCAGCACAGCAAGTGCCCATGAAGGTGGTAAGCCCAGGATCAATTGAGAGTCATTTCTTTTTCCTAGGCAAGTTGAATCTACTTCAACAATGAGAGAAAGATTTTATATTAACAGAATTACAGAAGATTAGTCATTTATAAACAAAAGGAGAATAATGATATGAAATGAATTGCCTGATAAAAATCCAACACCCACTTTTTTTTGGGGGTCCAGTCGTGGGGCCTGAACTCTGGGCCTGGGCGCTGTCCCTCAGCTCTTCAGCTCAAGGCTAGCATTCTACCACTTGAGCCACAGCGCCCCTTCTGGCTTTTTTCTTTTTGCTTATGTGGTGCTGAGGAATCAAACCCAGGGCCTCAGGCATGCAAGGCAAGTGTTCTACCACTGAGCCACCTTCCCAGCCCCCAACACACACTCTTAAATTAGGGCATTTACTTAACCTGATATAGGTTATTTGTGGTGGTTATTTAATGTGGCTGGGCCATAGCACCGAGATATTCTAGATGCTTCCTTGAAAATAATTCGTTAAAAATCACATTAACAGCTGGGTGCTGATGGCTCATACCTGTAGTCCCAGCTACTTAGAAGGCTGAGAACTGAGGATTGTAGTTCAAAGCCAGCCCAGGCAGAAAAGTCTGTGAGATTCCTCTTATCTCCAATTAATCACCAGAAAACAAGAAATGGAGCTATGGTTCAAAATGGTAGAGTGCTAGTCTTTTTTTCTTTTTGCCAGACCTAGGGCTTGCATTCAGGGCCTGGGCACCATCCCTGAGCTTCTTTTGCTCAAGGCTAGTGCTCTACCACTTGAGCCACAGCACCACTTCTGGCTTTTCCTGTTTATGTGATACTGAGGAATCGAACCCAGAGCTTCATGCATGCTAGGCAATCAGTCTACTGCTAAGCTACATTCCCAGCCCTAAAGTGCTAGTCTTGAGCAAAAAAAAAAAAAAGTTAAGGAGCCGGGCGCTGGTGGCTCATGCCTGTAATCCTAACTACTCAGGAGGCTGAGATCTGAGGATTGCGGTTCAAGGCCAGCCCGGGCAGAAAGTCCATGAAACTCTTATCTCCAATAAACCACCAGAAAACCGGAAGTGGTGCTGTGGCTCAAGTGGTAGAGCGCTTACCTTGAGCTGAAGAGCTGAGGGGCAGCACTCAGGCCCAGAGTTCAATCCCCACGACTGACAAAAAAAAAAAATTAGACTAACATTTCAATTGGTGTACCTTCAATAAAGCAGATTACCTTCCATAATGTGGGCGGGCCACATCCAATCAATTGAAGGCCTTAACCTAACCCCCACCAAGAAAGAATTCTGCCAGCAGAGTGCCTTTGGATTCAGACAGTAACTTCTCCAGGAATATAATGTGTTAACCTATTCCACCAGATTTTGGCGTCACCAAACTTCCCTAACTGTATATGCCTACCCACCCCCTATCCTCACTCACCCCCACACACAGATAGCAGGCCATCTATCCATGGATTCTACATCTTTGAATTCAGCAAGTTGCAGGTCAAATATATTTAGAAAAACAAGCTGGACATCATGGTCCAATCCTGTATTCCTACCTCCTTGGGAGGCAGAGATAGGGGGAATCTCAGGTGGAGGTAAGCCTGGGACATAAAAGTTTGTGAGACTCCATCTCAAAGGATGGGTGGTGCAGTGTTATGTGCCTGTCATCCCACGGACAAAGGGAAACACAAATAAGAGGATCGCACGCAGCACGCAGCCCAGGCCAGACAAATCATATCTTGAAAATAACCAAGTCACGGGGTCATGACTCAAGTGGTAGAGAAACCTGCCTTACTAGCACAAGGCCTTAAGCTCATTCCCCAGTACAACAACAACAACAACAACAAAACAAAAAGCAACTGCCTACCTCTGTACTGAACATTTTCTTGCCATTATTCCTAAACTATAATACAATATAACGATGATTTACATGGAATTTAATTGTATGGAGTAATGTAACTTACCTAGAGAGGGTTCACAGTTATGGGAGGGTAGGAGAAGGTTATCCATCAACACTAGTCTCTAACAAACAGCCTGGGACATGCGTGGGTAGGAGGGAGACTTGTGCGCATGCGCAAGGTCGTGCGCATGCTCACATATGCTTTATGGTTCCCGCGCACAGTATAAACCCCGGCGAGGGAGGATTGTGCGCATGTACATAGGCGTGCGCATGCGCACATACGGGCACACGCATGCGCAACTCTGTTCTGTAATTCCCTTGTTCTGTTGAACCCCAGAGAGCGCCATGTACGCGAGGAAAAGCTGACTTCCTGCCCGAAGGGTGACTGAGGGGTTCTGAGGATGGGAGCGGCTCGGTGAAGGTCCCGGGCGCCCTGGGACGGGCTGGTCACCCCCACCTAACACCTGGCATGGAACCACTGAGGCAGAGGCGCAGCCCAGGCCTGCCACACGCCGGGGCCGGGTGCCGCAGATGGGGAAACAGCAGGGGTGCCGGTCCTGGGCACTAGTGCCATGGGACCCAAGGTACGAGGAGTCTGGGGTTTCTACAAGTCAGAAAAAAAAACAGCTGGTGGGAATGAGGTGGGTTTTTGGCAGTGTTTGCGTTTCAAAATTTCTCCTGGCAATTTTCACAGAAGCCCATTTGAGGTCACCTTAGGTCCTGAGGTGGAGGGTGGTGAAGTAACTCAAAGGCCACAGAGCCAGCCTGGAGCTGGGAGCCAAAGACCCCAATCTAGGCCACCTACTTGC